GAAAGGAAAGGAAAGGAAAGGAAAGGAAAGGAAAGGAAAGGAAAGGAAAGGAAAGGAAAGGAAAGGAAAGGATTTTCTAAGTAAGAGATTAGAATGTGGATGAATTTGAAAGCTGTTTTGACACTGACTGGTAATGAAGGATGAAGATAAGGTGTTTTCCTAAACTATTTTGTGCCAAGCACAGAATGGAAGCAGTGCATGTTTAAAAGATTTTTTTTTATCCCACCTTTATTATTTTTATAAATAACTCAAGGCAGTGAACATACCTCATACTCCTTCCTCTATCTATTTTCCCCACAACAACAACCCTGTGAGGTGTGTTGGGCTGAGAGAGAGTGACTGGCCCAAAGTCACCCAGCATATACTATTCTTTCCTTCTTGTATATTGCCTCCTATATGATGGACATTATTCCTCTGCTCAAAGAGGAAATTACTCATGTGTGCAATTGACTTTGTGATAGAAAAGCCTGCTTCATGTCACAAGATTAAACCCTAACCCTAACTCATATTTTCTGTACCATTGATAACGTCGTATTAGCACTGAGATAAAATCTGTGAAGAAAAAGCAGGTTTAGCCCACTTAAGACTAAAATTAACTGCTCTGCATATAATTCATGAAAAATATTAGGAACTTCCAGGAAGAGCTTTGCATGTTTTTACTTCTAACAGACAGTAAGTAACATTTGATATGAAAATTATGTATCAACATAACACCCTCTGAGAGATGATGTGTCCTGTGCCTTCTAAACCAACTTAATTCAGACATCAGCACTGCTATAGAATAACACACAACCATGAGTACTAGTAATGACACCCAATTATTTTACTGAAAGACTTTTGTCTGTCAATCAGGTTTATGTAAAAGTAGTCATTATGAAAGAAAAGAACATGTTTCTGAACAGGTTGGTCCAGATTACAAACAGTTAAACTAATTTATTTAATCCTAAAGAAATCTGCAAAAGAATGATTTTTAAAAGATCATGGTAAGATCAGCATTGCCACTGATAAGCCAGAAATTGCAAAAGTTTTATTTTGAGAACCAGCACAAGATTGTAGAAATAAAATAGAGCTAATTTTTAAATAGTCTATATTGATTAAGGGTGCAGTATTTTATATCTTCAATTAATTGCTTTCTAGTTAACTTTCTTAAATTATTCCGTGTCAATAAAGCATTATATTAGAGGAAAAATATCCTCTCTCTTCCTTTTTAAATTATTGCCTTCCCTCCCATTGGAAGCACTTTAATTAATTGGACAGAATAAATACTGCAGCCTTAATATTTAGAGACCATTTAAAAATGAGCCCTGTTTTATTTTTACAACCTTGTGCTGGCTCTGAAACTAAAGAATTTACAGTTACAGTTAAAATACAATGTGGAAAAACAAATACTCACTTATCTACTTTTCCTTCAGTACTGTTTATGAGGTTCATTAATTTATTTTGTGCATCTTCTAACATTTCTTGTTTGATTGCACCTATAGAAATAAATTATATTTATTGTTTTAAGTAAGAAATAAACAAAAAGAGATGCATTAGTTGAGTCTCCAGGAAATTTTTTCAAAAATAAGATGTGGATTGATAGGAATAGGTAAAAGCTATCACATACTAGCACAACTTATACTTTGTATTAATTGTTTTTATTGTCTTAGATTTGTTTTTGTTCTCTGTTGTTCACTGTCCAAAATCTGTCAGCTTATGGGGCAGCTTATAAATATTGTTAAATAAATAATAAAAAACGGAATCTCAATAGTCATGATCCAAACTCAACTTTAAATTTATATTTCTATCCTCAAGCAGTAAAATATGTGATTTTACACTGAAAACTTTCCCAGTTTTGTGTTCACTGAATAAAGGCAAGGAAATAACTACATGTGGCTCCTTGTATCATCTGAAATAATCCATCTATAATAAAAGAGGATTATAAACTAAAGCACCAAGTTGTCTTACAAAGAATGACACTTGTAGGAAAAGTTTTACTAGAATTAATAAATTTCAATTTATTTTAAAATATCTGTTTCAGTCTACTAACAAAAATTAGATACGTAACTAAAAGACAAACAAGAAGATATAAATCCAAGTGCAAGATTATGGAAACCATTCAGCTTTGGTTAAATTAACTAAAGTTGAAAAAAATTAGGTCTCCTGCAATAACACAAACAACAGCCACCAGAAAAATGTGATTCTCATCAAATACATTAGTGATGTTGAAATGGCCTTCTTCCCCCTCCCCATGTGCACACCCAATCTGCTCCAGATGTTATCCCATGTCACAACTGGATAAACCAATTCCTTTTACAACCTTCATTTATCCTAGTGGAGAATTGTAATTTGAGAAGATAAAAGATTCAAAACGCTGGCAAATTTTAGCAGTATTGAATAAGATTTCTGCATGAAGCAAGAGTGAGGCTTTTAAACAAACTAATAAATTATAGAATAAAAAGTAGGGAAGTTACTTTCACAGATTTAATAAAGTCAGACTAAAACAATTAAACAGCCCATATTTTTAACTCAATATGAAATAAAGCTTTAAAGGGAGGTCACTAGTACAGAGGAACCTACATTAAAAATTAAACTTTCTCTAAGTAATTTCAGTCATTCATTCACTAAGCCCAACCTTCTTCTACGGTACAGTAAAAATAAAGCAAGGGAAGAAGAACCATGCACACATGTACACTATCTGGTGCTTTCTGAAAGACAGCTAAGATAAAAATGAAATAAAACATGTGAGTTGAATTGTGCTACTATATTATTTCTTTTTATAAAAACATGTTCAGTTTGATATTACACATCTATAATTAAACATGACAGAGTCTGAATGCTCACCTAGTTGTGCACTCAATAAGCCAAGATAGACAAGATATTTGTTACAGTCATAGAATAGCCCAAAAGAGAAAGAAAACAAAATCTGAGACCGCAAATAAAAACCACAGTAAAACCCAGTAACTGTAAAGCAGGTGTGATCAAGGGGTAACATATTTTACAAATAGTAAATCAAAATGGTGGCAATTAATGCACCATTGGAAGACCAGGTTAGGGACAGATCTTCATGGAGAAAATCTATCCCTGTGGTCACTAAAAGTTGATGACTTAATGGCACATAATAAATCAATCAAAGAGGTAAAGGAGCTGTACAGTACTACAGGGGATGCGGTGGCGCAGCGGCTTAATGATGCTGAAAGTTGCCAGCCAGAAATGGTCGACGCTTCAG